TGAGGTTTTGATTTGGATTTCCCTGATGCCGAGTGATGTTGAGCATTTTTTCGTGTCTGTTGGCCATTTGTAGGTCTTCTTTGGAGAAATGTCTGTTCATGTCTTCTGCCCATTGAAAGAAGTCTCTTTTTTTAAAGATTTATTTATTTGAGAGAAGGAGAGACAGAGTGTGTGAGTGGGGGGAGGCAGAGGGAAAGAATCTCACACAGACTCCTCCCTGAACACAGAGCCTGACCTGGCTTTTGATCTCAAGACCCTGACATCATGACCAGAGCCGAAATCAAGAGTTGGCCACTCAACTGACTGAGCCACCCAGGCGTCCCACAGAAAGAAGTCTTAAGTATACTGTAAACGCTTCACAAGTTTTGCAGTTATATATCATGTCCAACTAAGTAAACTCTATTTCTACATTAACACCTTTCCCGTGGTGGCATATTCTTGACTTCCGTGCTTGTCCCCTTGCAAGCTCCACTCAGGCATGCAGGATCATGCTCTCACGCTCACCAGGCTGGCCCCACATCCAGGTCCATGGAGCACTGATTGGAGCCCTCATCTTTGCAAATCCCTGTGCAATGCCTGCCACCCCAGCTCAGTTCCTGAGCGTGGGGTTTGCTTGGGGTGCTGAGAATTGATGGAATCACCACCCAGTCCAGATGCTCGAAGTACAGAGAGTGGGTGGTCCACCTTCCAGTCTGGTTGCCCCATGAGGTGGTTAGGTGGTAAGTCCAACAGCCAGCTCAAAACCAAGCAAGGGGTGGGGAAGGAGAAATTTTAAAATTTAGTTGAGTTTAAACCAAAACTTACTACAAAATCACGGACTAAATTGCATTTATGTGGATGGGTTTGTGTGAGTTTTCAGTTTCCAGGTAGCTATGAGAGCTTGGGATAGATTTAAGTTTAGTTATAAGAAAACAAATTTACCTTTTTTTTTTTTTTTTGCACAGTTCTGTTTGGCTGAAAATCATGCAGACTATACCTACAGAACTTTTTAAAATTCAAAAACAAAATTAATGAAAACACTATGGGAAAGAAAGCAAAACATGTTTTTTTGAAAGGGAAAGAAATCAGCCTTTGCTGTGGTTCGTGGCTCCACAAAAATTTGTGTATTTGGATTCAGTTTGTTCTGCAGTTCAGTAAATTGGAGCAGTTTAGTTTGGCTTTTGGTTCAGGTCACATCCCTGTAAATATATTTGCCCTTTGAGAAGCAAATATGCTCCAAAAGAGTAAGTCTAGAATGGTTCCTCATGCCTCTCAAAATCTTCTCTGTTTGTAAGCATCTGAAATACCCAGATATAGAGTCAATTGTCTTTCAGAGACTTCGGGCTGCTTGTGCATGAACTTGTGGTTGGAAGAGCCTTGTCTCCATCCTCCCTGAGGTGTTCTGGTGAACTCTCCGGCCAAGGGGGATTTACTGTGAAGTTGGCACGGCTTAGCCTTTCCTCACTTGCCCCGAGTGCCTCCAATGCACTACTTGAGACCTAGGGATGTGTTGATACTGTGGCTTTTTAAAAATAAAATGTATCAAAGTAAGGCCTTTTCACTACAGTCCATTGACATTCCCTCCATTGTACTTCCTCCCCACTTCAAGTGGCACTAAAGTGGTAAAACATTTTTGGGATCCAGAAGGGGGATTTGGAGAAGGAATGCACCTTGCTGGGTTGAGTGAGATGTATTTATGTTATTGTTTAAAGCCATTAAGTTTTGGAGTGGTTTGTTACACAGCAACAGATCGCTGATACCCACATGTAGAGTTATACCCAGTGGATTTGGTTCTCGGCAGGAATGTACTCAGTAATGCAGTACCTTATTAAATTATAAATGAGTCATACTTTTCCTTTATTATTTTCCTTCCTCCCTTCTTTCTTTCCTTCCTTCTTTCTCCCTTTTGTTTCATGGGAATTACATATTTGATAAAATTCAAATAAGTCTTTTAAAATGCAATTTGGAAAGCTGTTTTAGAAAGTTTCAGTATAACAAGTAAGAATTCACAGACTCACGATTTTAATGTATAGGAAGAGTACCTTCTTGTTTCGTCTTTTAACTTTATTTCCTAGAGAACACAGAGAAAATTCTGATAAATATAAATGGAATACTGAACACTAATTCAGCACCATTCTACAGTGTAGATAGCCTATACTCTTCAAAAATGTCAAGATCATGAAAGTTACAGTAAAAAAAAGTGAAAAGTGAGTAAAGAATTGTTCCAGATAAAAGGATCCTAAAGAGAAAGGATGACTAATTGCTGTGTGTGTGATCCTTGACTGGATCTTGGAACAGAAAAAATTAATTTCCTTATTTTAATATAAGGACATTAATAGGATAAATCTGATATTTGAATGAGGTTTGTAGATTAGATAAAGTAGTATTTCACCGATGTTAATTTTATGCTTTGAAAATTATACTGTGGTTATATAA